AACATACAGAACTACCAAACTTTGCTATAAGTTTGATTTCATCATATAATAATTGCTGTTAATAGTGTTCATCTTCTGTTTGATTACGTCTTTAATTGATTTTTCCGTACATTCTGCCATATGTACATAATCTGACAGTCACCACTGATAAGCTACTACTAAATATTGTAGAAACTTAATTTTCTGTAAAGTTGCTTTGCAACGATTTGTATCGTAAAAAGCGCTATACAAATAAACTTGAACTTGAATATTATTTTTAGCTTTATCATCAAGCTCTAATAGACCAATTTGGTGTTTGCAAACAGTGATTACGTTTGTTGTGGGCGGAGCCTATTTGGTGGCAGAAAATTACAGTTTTCAAGTTGCGGTCTATGGAAACCATGGAATAAAAGAATAAAAAAAAAGGTAAATTTGAGTTTATATTTCAAAATTCTGACTTTATTCTCGCAATTGCGAGATTATATATCACAATTCTGATAAGAAAAATCAACTCGTCATTCTCTCTTTTGAGTTTATATCCCACACTTCTGGCTTTTTTTCCCTCCGAATGGACAAACTCGCTATTGTTGAGTTAAATCGAGTTATAAAGTCCGAAATACGAGATATAAAGTTGCATTTGCGAGAAAATAAGTCAGAATTGTGAGACAAAATAGGTAAATGTAAAATGTTATAGGTTTAAATAGTATTTCATGCTGTAACTGTAGGGCTAATATATTATGTTACTATTATGAACCGCATATGTGAATATTATGTATAGACCAATTTTTTAATCAAATTTATGCTTTAAATGCAGAGTAATCATAGCAGGTTTCATTCATTAGTCTGTACGTTTAAACGTCTGCGTTTAGCTTCAAATGGTGTTTTTGACGACAGAATTCTATAAAAATGATTTGCATTCCGATTCTGACATCCAAAGGCACAACAATACATTTTATCTCTTATTCTGTGGATTTTTCCCGTTTCACTCCACTTGTTACCAGTATTTTTCTGCCACCACAATGCGCGTGCAGCTACGAGTGACGTAACTGTGACGTCTACACGAAATTTGTCTATAGAGTATATATACAGTGGTGTGAAAGTTTTTGCTGTTTTTTTTTTTTTTTACATATTTGTCACACTTGAATGATTCAGATCATCAAACAAATTTTATAAATCTATAACTGGTTGTGCCACCCTTTGCAGCAACAACTGCAATCAAGCGTTTGCGATAACTGGCAATGCGTTTTTCACATCGCTGTGGAGGAATTTTGGCCCACTCTTCTTTGCAGAATTGTTAATTCAGCCCCATTGGAGGGTTTTCGAGCATTAATGGACTGTTTAAGGTCATGCCACAGCATCTCAATCGGATTTAAGTCCGGACTTTGACTTGGCCACTCCAAAACCTTAATTTTGTTTTTCTTGAGCCATTCAAAGGTGGACTTGCTGGTGTGTTTGGGATCATTGTCCTGCTGCAGAACCCAAGTGCGCTTGAGCTTGAGGTCACAAACTGACGGCCGGACATTCTCCTTCAGGATTTTCTGATAGAGAGCAGAATCCATGGTTCCATCAATTATGGCAAGTCATCCAGGCCCTGAAGCTGCAAAGCAGCCCCAGACATCACAACCACGTTTGACTGTTGATATGATGTTGATTTTATGAAATGCTGTGTTGGTTTTACGCCAAATGTAACGGGACACACACCTTCCAAAAAGTTCAACTTTTGTCTCATCAGTCCACAGAATATTTGCCCAAAAGTCTTGGGGATAAACAAGATATTTTTTGGCAAATGTGAACGAGCCTTTGTGTTCTTCTTGGTCAGCAATGGCTTTTGCCTTGGAACTCTCCCATGGATGCCAGTCTATTTTTTTTTATTGTTGAATCATGAACACTGACCTTAATTGAGGCAAGTGAGGCCTGCAGTTCTTTAGATGTTGTTCTGGGTTCTTTTATGACCTCCTGGATGAGTCGTCGTTGCGCTCTTGGAGTAATTTTGGTAGGCCGGCCACTCCTGGGAAGGTTCACCACTGTTCCAAGCTTTCTCCATTTGTGAATAATGGCTCTGACCGTGGTTCGCTGGAGTCCCAAAGCCTTAGAAATGGCTTCATAACCCTTTCCAGGCTGATACATGTCAACTATTTTGTTTCTCATCTGTTCTTGAATTTCTTTAGATCGCGGCATGATGTGTTGCTCTTTAAGCATGCTTCACTTTGTCAGACAGGTTCTATTTAAGTGATTTCTTGATTCAACAGGTCTGGCAGTAATCAGGCCTGCGTGTGGCTAGTGAAATTTAACTCAGCTTTCTAAAATAATGTGGTTAATCACAGTTCTTTCATGATTTAACAGGAGGGGGCAATTAATTTTTCACATAGGGCCAGGTAGGTTTGGTCAGCTTTTTTCCCTTAATAAATGAAATCATCATTTAAAAACTGCATTTTTTATTTACTTGCATTATCTTTGTGTAATATTAAAATTTGTTTGATGATCTGAATCTTTTAAGTGTGACAAATATACAAAAAATAAAAAAAAAACAGGAAGGGGGCAAAAACCTTTTCACTGCACTGTACAGTAGAAAAAGCCATGTTTAATAAATACCATATGGAAACTCCATTTTACATTTAAGATACTAATTTTTTCTCTTCACATAATTTATTACGAATGTGCTACTTACAATACATCTGATGTATAGCAGACTAACTTATGGAAAATGTGTGCAGCAGTCATTAAATATGTAACCTCAGCACTCCCAAAGGGTCATTAAAATAAATTTACATCTTGAAAGCCCTTCCAACAATAACAGTGACTGAGTGAAAGACTTATGAGATTTTACACGCACAATGTGATATGTTGGCTGCTACAAGCAAAATCGAAAGACTGGAGTGGATGTTGAAGCATTTGACATAGTATCTGGGTAGCTTGTGTCCACAATTTATGTATTTGATTTGTTATAAAACAAAAGCTACAGTGATGATGTCGGCCAACTCTCCAGCCGCAAAAAACACACTGACTGTTTGACGAGCGCTGGCTTTCATCAGTCGCAAACACACTCATAACACGTGGCTCCAGAACTTACTCTTCATTCTCGTACAAGTACTTCACGATCACCCATGGCAACACGAATATCAGAGGGGCACCTGAGGGAGAAAGAGAAAGAGAGACCTTGTGACACGAGGCATAAACCATCTGCCACACTCTGTTTGGACATGCTATGTATGAGGAAGCTCTTAAACCCTGTTAATGGAGTTCACGGTGTAAAAGCTCTGAACCTCTCACCCCAGCCGATACACTGGTAGATGGCGAAGTAATTCCTCTCCGTCAAGACTGTGACGACCAGAAGGCTGTGCAGGTAGATGCCCTCCACCAGCAGCCAGTAGTTGTTGGCCAGTATGCTGTACTGCATCATCACCATTGCAACCCTGCAGCCGACCGCCGTCTGAAAAGCACACGTTGATTTTGGGGTCACTGAAAGCTTTCGGCTAAATTTTAACCTGCCGCCTCCATTCAGATTTATTTGCACAGTAAATAGGTACTTAACTTAATCTATACTAACATGCATTTTAAGGAATATTCCTGGTCATTTACAACATACTGTAAGGTTTATGGGCAGCATATTAGCATAAAAAGTTTTAAGAATTAAGTAATTTTTTGTTGTTATTAAATAACTTTTAATGAAAACTTCCGTAAAAATGTTTGTAGCATTAAAGGTCTGATTTACTAACAGCTTTCACCAGTGAAAACCCTCTTTTGGCATTAAACTAATGTCAGGGTTTATTACAGACACATGGTGAAAAATTAGCAATGAAAAGGTCAGTTATTTTTGTGGCTATCTTTGTTGCATATGCATTTATAGAAGGTGAAAAAATTATTGGAGAAAATTTAAAGGGGTCATCGGATGCCAAATTCACTTTTACATGTTGATTGAACATAAATGTGTGTTGGCAGTGTTTGTACACATCCACCCTATAATGATAAAAATCCACTCAGTGTTTTTTTTAATCTATATAAATAATATCCCCTTTCTCAAATCAAACCGTTCTCAGCTTCTTGGCTGTGTGACGTCACACAGACCCAGGCCCCTCCCACGATTGTTTGATTGACACTGGTGTTTTCCTTAGACCCGCCCTGAGTGAGCTGTCATCAGTCCGCCATTGTTTCACCGCCGGAGCAGATGGAGACAAGAATGTTTCCTAAGCGATTGAGGTGTTTTGTTGTTGGACGTAATAATGAACATAGCAGTCATAATTTACTCCCGACATCTGAGCCACTGAAGACGCAGTGGATTACATGTTTTTGAAGGGAATGCGCCGATCCCCGATCTACCTAAATGCGTTTATGTTCGTGCAAATCATTCGTGATCCAGCTTCACCTCCAGAAGAAGTGAGTATAAGGTTCTTTTATGAATCTTTGCAAATCACCTTTCCTAATAACGTGCTAGTTAGCAAGTTCCGCGGCTAAAGTAAACAGTCGCATGAGAACGGCTCGTCACCCCACGGAAGAGAGGGGCAGGGCCAGCAGAGCTCATTAGCATTTAAAGGAACATGGACTAAAACGGGTTGCTGTGTGCAGAGCTGTTTTTGTTGTTTTACACTACCAATGAGAAATTTTAACCAAAGTATGTTATAGACTTTTCATTAAGACCCTAAAGAATCATATCAACTTGTGGAAAATGGACAACCGATGACCCCTTTAAATAAATCATATACTACACAAATAAGCAAACTAAACATTGAAATTAGTTACCAAAATAGCTATCATAAACTAACAATTTTTCAGCATTTATGGTATTTTTACATATACTAATCATTTTTAACATGAATAAAGACGACCGCGTTTTTTCAGATGTATTTCCAAGAAAAAAATATCGTCTTATATTCGGGACAATACGGTATATGTCAAAACTAGCTAATATATTAGCAATAATTCATCAGTTATATTGAGAACACTGATTCTTACAAATTGCATTAAATCTACCTTTTAAAAGTAGAATGATGCCTTTTGTACTTTTAGTTTTCTTAAAAACACAACAGAAGGAACTGAAAAGTTCCCCTAATTGAAGAATTCACACAGCATGCTGTAAATTAAATTGTAAATAACCCTGAATATTCTTTTGAAAATAATTACATAGATATAGGATTATTACAAATGTGAATTAATCCAGAGATACACACTACAATTCAAAAGTTTGGGGTTTGTACATTTTTTTTTTTTTTATAAAGAAATTGATACTTTTATTCAGCAAGGATGCACTAAATTGATCAAAAGACATAAAGACTATTTCTATTTTAAATAAATGCTGTTCTTCTCAACTTTCCATTCATCAAAGAAACCTGAAAAAAACCCACAGTTTCCACAATAATATAAAGCAGCAATTGTTTTAACCTTGATAATAAGAAATGTCTCCTGAGCAGCAAATCAGCATATTAGAATGATTTCTAAAGTGTCAAGAGACACTGAAAACTGGAGTAATGATGAGTACATTCACCTTTATTAAAAATATATAAAATAGAAAAAAAGTTATTTTAAATTGTAATAATATCTCACAATATTAGAATTTTTACCATTTAAAATAAATGCCGTCTTGGTTAAGCAGTAGAGACTTGTTTAAAAACCTTAAAATTCTTACTGCCCCCAAACTTTTGAATGGTAGTACAGTATATTATCATCTTTTAATAACAATAATAACAAAGAAAGACAGCAGGTTATTGGACCTCGTTTTTAACCAGCCACTCCACCTCCAGTTCAGTGGTGATGTCCTGACCAACATGGAAGTCATCAGGCCTTTCCAACATGGCATCTTTGATGAGAATAGAAGAGGCTCGCAGGATGAAGGAGGCAAACAAGTTCATGTGAATGTTGTTTCTCATGCAGTGCAGCTTCCTGCGGGGATCAGAGTGCAATGAATAAAAATCAAAAGGCATCACACCGTTCACACAAAGAAGCCCAACTCCTTAACCACAGACACAACCAAAGATCCAAAAACTGATGCTAAACATGTTTTCAATTTAAAATGTAAGCAGAAGGAATAAATTCCCAGTTGGCTTGAATGTTACCTAAAGGCCACCAGGATGCCCAACGCCAGCACTAGCGCCGCAAGAGACAGGGAATATCCAATGGTGTACATGGCCTGGAACTGACTGAGGATCTGTCCGTAGTGTTGCTGAACACAGACATACAAATACATTCGCTCAGACAATGACACAAATGCACAGGTGAACACCATATTGAATTTAGGGTGGATGGAAATGAGATTGTGAGGGACAGACTTTCAGTCTTTACATTGGCATGAACTGTATAAAGGTCCTAGATCACGTCTTTTTTTAAAACTCACTACTTTATAAAATGTTTTATGGAGTTTTTGTCCACTGAAAGTCTTTGGAAAGATGTTTTGTCAACACATTCTCACTCCCAACTCGTCACATATTGGCGCTTGGTCAGGACACCTTCGTGTCACTTTTTGATGCACAGGGTACCCCTTTAGCGTAATTTTTCGACATGCAGGGTCCTCCATTGCTTTAAATAAGAAACCCTTGGCGTCAATATGCCGACGCGAAAGGCATTGGGAATTTTATCATCATGATTAAATTATATGTTGGGTAATAATATTGACAATATTGCATATATGCTGGGGTATGGTTTTTCAATGTAAACACTAACAGTCACAACTGTTTTATTTGTATTACAGTATTTACACATTTATAAGCACGTAACCCAACCAACCCCTTCTCCTAAACCTACCATTTGTCAATAAAACACAGGATATAACAGGCAGATACAACTACAGTCATAATTTATTCAAAAAGTATTAATATTCCAAGTCTTCCGAGGCAAAACGATTGATTTGTGAGAGGAATAGACGCGATCGCCATCTCCGTCCGCCGTAAAGCTCATCCTGTGTGCTGCAGTCTGTGCGGCAAATTCAAAAAATGCCGCAAGAAGAAGCCTTACATCAGCCTTGGTTGTGAAATGCCATTGGCTTTTGTGCGTCTCGTGACTGATTGCGTCATGCTAAAATATGGAAGTATCTTTTTGAATGAGATGTGAGTGCTTTGAGGGAGCGGGATTATTTTCAGTGATTAAAACGTTATGTTTTACTCTCTTCTTCACATAAAGAGATCGTATGGCTTCAGAAGACTTGGAATGCAACACGACTTGTTTATAATACTTTTATACTGCTTTTTATGGTAGGTGTTTGCAATAAAAACCTGTGACTGCACTTATATTTGCCTGTTACGTGTTCTATATTGTTTAGGGTAGGGGTGGGGTTACGTGCTCCAATAAAAGTATAAATTTATATAAAATTATTTCTATTTTTTACAAATGCATGCAAACCATTAAATTAAGACAAACAACTGAAAACAATGGAGGACCCTGCACGTCGAAAAGTGATGCTAAAAGAATACCCCTGCGCGTCGAAAAATGAAAAAAAGCGACGAAAAGGGGTCCTGACCAAGCGTCAATATGTGACGAGTTGGGAGTGAGAACGTGTTGGTTTTGTCAACTGAACAATCGGTATGAAGTTAAACAACAGTACAATCCATTGACCACACACTGTAATTCTATTAATATTTCAGTTTACTTATAGTGCTATTATATTAGGATCTTATAGGTTAAAATTTATATGGATAAATGTTTTCTACAGTATGTTTGATAAACATTTAAACATAATTCGACTTTTTTCAAACATTTTTGAAAATTTTGCTCAAGTATTGTCTGTTACAGTTTGACACATTTTTGTTATTTCACAAGTTTGTGATTTTTGCTGGCCAAATTACATCCGAATAAATATCACACCATGAAATAGTGACTATATTTAAAAAAAAATGAGTAAAAAATGAACTCTGTATTAAAGGGGTCATATGATGCTTTTTTAAAGATCATTATTTTGTGTATTTGGTGTAACAGAATATGTTGACATGCTTTAATGTTCAAAAAACACATTATTTTTCAAATACTGTACATTATTGTAGGTCCTCTATGCCCCGCCTCTCTCAAACGCTTCGTTTTCTACAAAGTCCCGCCTTCCGACAAGCGCAGTCTGCTCTGATTGGCCAGCTGACCCAGTACATTGTGATTGGCCGAACACCGCAAGCACTCGTCGGAAATGTAACTCCCCTTACCATAATCGCGAGCTTCATCTTTCAAAATAAATGTAAAGACAGAGCCCGAAAGGGGAACAGAGTCGCGTGACAGACAGTGATGAAGCTGGTATGTGTTTGTGATGTGACCCCCCCTCTCGCTCTCTCTCTCTCTCTGTCGCTCTCTCGTGCTCTCTCTCGCGCTCTCTCTCTCGCTCGCTCGCTCGCGCACACACACACACGCTGCGCCTTTTTTTCTCACACAATTATGGACATAAATTTACTCATAATACATAATGTGCAACCTGTCAGTACATGCCCAGCTAATATTTCACCCCAAAATGAAAATAATTTAAAATTGTATTTTGCATAAAGAAAATGAAACCTACTTTATGCAATGTGCATAATGGTGGCAATGTGTACAACTGTGATTATTTAAATGTTAGAGCCATACATAACTGCCATAAATAACACAAATAATTGGAAGGGGTTTGGAGTCTTTTGACTGTTGAAACAGCTAAAATCATATTTCAAGCTTAATCAAGTGTAAATAAGTTTTAAGTTGAATTTTTGTATTTGTATCCTGACAAATAAAGAGTAAACTGTTAATGTAAAATGGTCTAGACTGGCTTGTAAATGTGAATACATTTTAAAGGAATAGTTCAACCAAAAATGACCATTTGCTTAAAATTCAATCACTCACACTCAGATACACATTTTTTTTTCTGACAAACACACACGTGGTATGGATTCAGGGTTTCTGCAAGATTTTTAAGCTCAAATTTAAGACCTTTTTAAGACCTGCACAAATAAAATTAATACCATATGAGCGGGGTAGGGCAATGTCTATAGTACCATATGAAACTGTAAAATTACTGTAAAAAGCATAATTTACAGTTCAGATACAAGTTTTCACAAAAACACAAAGTTTTATAAAATGATAAACTTTACATTTCAGCCTTTAAACCATTTTTAAGAAAATGGATGAGTCAAAAGTATCAATTATTATATTAATTTAAACAATTATTTTCAATAAGTTATTATATCAATTAAATAACATAAATTAGGGGTGTGCGATATTGACAAAAAAAAAGGATATCTCGATCATTTTCTTGGATTCTATCGATAACGATAATTAGACAATATTTTGCTATAGAGTGTGTTATGGTGCTGATATCTTATATCTAATTGGGTTGACAGCTGACTCCTGAATTTTTTTATATTCTTTATATTCTGTGTGGTCAGTTCACAGCAGTGATAGAAATTAATTATTTCCAACGAGTTTTATGGGCATTTTTACCTTTAAGCCATTTTTTATAAAAGTGTGTGAAATTAAAACTGCCAGTCACTGTTAAGTGAGTCATTGCGATTGAACCGAAACATTTACACGGTTGATTCATTTAGGAACAAAACAGCGTTGTGTTGCTCAGAGACGCAAAACAGCGCTGTGGCTGTGTTTGGAATGATTTTTGTTGGTGAAATAGAGCAAAAACAGGAAATAAAAAAACGTCTAAAACGAGACTTTCTTGTACAATTTAAGACTTTTTAAGGCCTTAAATTTGATACAACTAAATTTAAGACTTTTTAGACTTTTTTTAAGACCCCCGGAAACCCTGGGATTACTTGTAGATGTTACTGTGATGTTTTTTTCAGCTGTTTGGACTCTCATTCTGACGGCACCCATTCACTGCAGAGGATCCATTGGTGAGTAAGTGATATGATCCTAAATTTCATCTACATCTTTAGCATTTTTTTTTTTTAGCAAATTTCATGTTTGGTTGAACTATTCCTTTAAACCTTGATTACAGTGAATCTCACAATGTAAATAAATCTTAACAGTCTAAAAATATGTTTCTTTCTTTTGATTTCAGGATCAAATATGACCTAGAAATGTTATCAATGTGAATGTTATATTACCAGCAGTCTTACCTTCCTTGTGCCAGGGCAAGTACCAGGGGCAGGCCACACTCACTGTAGTATTGGGCAGTGCATCCGGCCAGCAGGCATACTTATCAAATGTTCTGTTGCACACAAGACCTAGAAAAACAACCATTAAACCATGTTAAAGTCTCCTCTGCTCTGTTTGCAGTGCTGGACAGGATCAGTATGTGACATGACCCCTAAATCAGAAGTCTCAGCAGTGTTTTCCAACATACATCCCTTAACAGCACTGTGCACTTTCATCATGGCTGTCGACAGGGTCTATGAAAGACCTCTACTGAACTTACACACGACTGTGACTGCGAATCCAGCCATTACTTGTGGAAGGATGCTGAACAACTCACCTGTCATCGGTGGTTCTCTGCTAATATTTAGAAAACATTCGTCTCGGTACATCATCCATCTTGCCATCAAAGTTTTGAGGGATGCAGCAGATGACACCTGCAAGAGCCAATTAGTAAGACCGCATGAAAAGGTTAAATGAATTAAGTATTATAATTACATTTTTATTTCTGTAAAACACAAAATAAGTTAGCTAGAACAATGTCAAGGCTGGTCTTTCCCAAGTAAATAGTGACTAAAATACATTATATAAGCCTCATACTGAGGTGAACATCCCATTACAAACAACAAAGCAGTGTGTTGCGTCACTTACCTTGGGTGTAGATGGAGTATTGAAATCTAACCATAAATTACAGCGACTGCTGAACTTCTGCAAGCTGGGCTTTATTAATGAACCTCTGTGATGTTCTTGTTTTTCTTTTTTTCTCACATAAATATGCTTAATTAATGGCTAATCTAATCTTCAGTGAGTTGCATAATGCTCAGACTCTAAGCCAACTCGAAAAAGAGCTGAGCGGTGCGTGTGTGGCATTTCTATTTGTTCTCAGCTTTATTTATATATATTTATCTGGCTTGACGTTTATATATATATATATATATACACACACACACACACAAACAAACTCTTTTATGATTGTTTCTTAACAAACACACTTTTAAAAAGTGCACTTTGTAAAAATGTCAAATTAAACATTTTACGTTTAAGTTCATTTTAAATCAGTAGGCTATGTATTCATTGTCTTTAGCGATACACTTATTCTGATGTGTTGACATTAATTTGACTAAAAAACATTTAAAGTGCTTGTGTTTATTATGTATTTAAATAGATGATATACATACAAAATATTTAAATAGATGATAAACAAGTTTCAATATAAATGACAATTATTACCATAAATGCTAGTGAGTACATTCGTCAGCACACTTTAACCATGCTTTAAAGACAACAGATATAATTATGAAATTAAATTTTAAGATGTACTTCAGTCTTGCTTAAGTGAGTCAATAAAGCACTCTAAAGTTCAACTTACATTTAAAATAATTTTAAACTATAATGCATTTTCATTTAATTGCAAATAACATTTAGCTCACACTTAAGTACATTCTTTTAAAGTACATTACTTCCATAAAAAGTACTCTTCTTAAAAGTATACTAAAGTATAAAGTACATAAAGCAGGGCCTATCAAGCCCCTGTTAGGGAGACAGTAGGGTGAGCAGTATATATATCAGTCTGGCGAGTAAACTAAAAAATTTACTAGCCAATGGCGATTCAATTGCCAAGGTGTTCGTAGAGGGCTGAGATGTCCAGATAAAATCAGGGCAGTCCCGATTATACGAGCCATGGCCCACGTCTTGATGGAGTTACAGAGCGCCATTTGTCCAGATCATTCATTTTTGGCTTTGGTCTGATGGCTATAAATAAATGATTGAAACTGATATTGGTAACAGTAAGTATTATATAAAGAAGTACAACCGCTGCTTCCTCTTCAGAATATTGAGAGGTAAGTAACAAAAATGAGCACATGTGTAACTGTGCTGATTTTTTCACAAATATCTGGTCACCTTAAGAGAGAGTGACAGAAACAGAGAGGAAGGGGAATAAGCTCTGACCTGGATGCAGGAGGAGAAACAGAGCAGGGTCAGAAGGAGGAATACTTGTGACATCCCTTAGTCCTGCTGCTGCTGCTGCTGCTGCTGCTGGCACTGGGAGGGGAGATGGGGGTCCACACCGATATGCTCACCTCATAGGAAGGCTTCAGCTATCACCACACAGCCTAAAGCACAGATGGAAAGAGTTAAAGAGTTCAACGCGTTATCAAACACCAAATGCACAATATACCCTCAAATAAAGCTGAACGTTATGATAATATGTATCATGTAATCGGTGACATACATGGTAGAAATGTAATTTATATCATTGTATATTCCAGTTGCTATTTTAAAAATATCTCACAAAGCAGAAAACTAAATCATACACTACCATTGAAAAGTTTGGGGATAGTAAGATTGGTAACACTTTATTTTAAGGTGTCCTTGTTACACGTTACATGCAGTTACTATTATAATAACAATAAATTATGCATAATTACAGTAACCCAAAGCCAAACCCTAATCCTAATCTTAACCATATAGAAAGTACATGTAGTTACTTAATATTACTCAGTACTTAAATTTATAATTACACTGTAACAAGGACACCTTAAAATAAAGTGTAACTAAGATTTTTCATGTTTCATGTTTTTGTTTCTCATGCTCACCAAGGCTGCATTTATTTGATCAAAAATACAGTAAAAAACAGTCATATTGTACAGTAATAATTTGCTGCTCAAGAAACATTTATTATTATTGTTGTTGTTGTTATTATTAATGTTCAAAATTAAAACTTAAAAATAAATAAAATCATTAAAAAAAGTGCTTCATTCTTCCCCACCCCCTCCCCAGGATTCTTTGATGAAAGAAACTTCAAATCTCAAACATTATTAATTTGAAAAAAAAAAACTATTAATGTTTTTACTGTCACCTTTAACTGGCCCTAGATTAATTAAAATGTTCCTATTAACTTCTTTCAAAAAGACAGCAGACAGCTTCATAAAAGCGATTTAATATTGACACATTGTTACTACATTGGTTTATACAGTTGTTTATGGTTGCCAAGTAATGTCACAACTTTGAACTTTTAGAAATCAAAAGCTATTTTAAAGTCTTTGTTCTGTAATTACAACAGTGATACATTTACGACAGTCAGTTCCACTCACTTTACTGTAGGGGCTCCAAAGTCCCAAAATTCACAAAAATGGAGCGTAGCGTTAGTTCTGGCAGGTCACGTTAGTCAAGCTCGCATCAGCTGACACTCAGCTGATCCACGTCTACCTATAGGAATACGATGCCAATCATAATTCCCTTTATAAGGTCCTTTCAGTCATTATTCAGCAGCTATCGCTTTGCTCAGGAGCTAATCACCCACCTCCATCCCCAACTCCTCCTCTCGTCCAGTCAGGACTTGGCATTGGATATTTCTTCTTGAGTCAGACCACTGAATTATGTTGATATATAAAATAATCACTTAGAACATTGATGACGTTAGTTCTGGCAGGTCACGTTAGTCAAGCTCGCATCAGCTGACACTCAGCTGATCCATGTCTACCTATAGGAATACTACGCCAATCATAATTCCCTTTATATGGTCCTTTCAGTCATTATTCAGCAGCTATCGCTTTGCTCAGGAGCTAATCACCCACCTCCATCCCCAACTCCTCCTCTCGTCCAGTCAGGACTTGGCATTGGATATTTCTTCTTGAGTCAGACCACTGAATTATGTTGATATATAAAATAATCACTTAGAACATTGATGATATCTGCTACATTAATCATTAATGTTGGTTCTGTTCAGTTTACCCTAGGGGGGTTATTTATGCTCTCCCTGCTCCTATCCATGCTAGGCTGCATAGATGGGCAGGGAGTGTTGCCCAGAACAGAACCATACCCCCAACCTAAAATGTATGCTAATTGTAAGTTATCTTTGACGATAGTGGTCCTTACAGAACTACATGCTTTTGCTTTGTTACAAATATAAAAAAGTAAATATAAATGAAAAATGATGAACTATTAAAAATAGGCATTACTGCATCATTATACAATGCATAAAATATTTTTGGCTGAATTTTAGGCAATGGATATATACAGTTAGCATAATATAAAATACCTCGTAACATGACGTATTTTGGTCACAATCCCCACCTCTACTCCCAAAACAAGACCGAGAACTGGAATGCCCCCGATGTTGTTTTTTTCCACTGATTAAAGCTGCAAGCATCATGTCGAGTAATAAGGCAAGCAGTGTGAGCCTCATTGGCTCCCTAAACTCATTTCACTGTTTGCTGAATGTGAGCAATCAGGATAGCATACAAGAACAAAGAATGTTTGCAGTGCAATTAAGACCTGGACTACTGATCTACAGTATAAAAACAACACGCTCATTATCCTACTTTTCTGCAGAAGCCTCTGGGCAAAAGAAGGTCACAGACTGTTGACCATGTCGCTGTCTTTGCTACAAGCTCTTGCTTGCGTGATGAAGCAGATAGCAGCGGACAGGATACACTAGCCCTTACAACACATCCAGCTCAATTACTCACATGGTTTAGAGAGAGATGTTAGAACAGAACATGAAGGTAACAGATATGATCACAGTACAGATACAGACTAAATCCTAGAAGGTGGCCTACATAGGTTGCATATCAAAAATTTACTTTTCTTCATCATTTACTCACCCTCATGTTGTTCTAAACCTGAATGACTTTCTTGCTTCTGTGGAACATAAAAGAAGATTTTCTGAACAATGTTGGTAACCAAACGGTTTTGATGACCATTGACTTCCATTGTATGGATATAAAAAACATTGAGACAGTTCTCAAAATATCTTTTATGTTCCACGGAAAAAGAAAGTCATAGGTTTGGAACGACATGAGGGTGAGAAAATGATGACAGAATTTCCCTTTTTTAAACCTCTAATGTATCATAGGCAAGATAACTTGTAGGATGCAGTCCCAGAATGGATTGCAACAAGCTCAGTTTAAAAATGGGATGAATTTGGATTTCGGAATAATATTCTACCATACAACTCTAATCGACAGCTTAATGTTTGCCATTAAACATTCTTTTTTGATTGATCTATTTTCAGAATTTATACGGAGAAAAATTTTTGTTTTATAAGAAAAGCCATTGACAACTTTGTGACAGGTATAGCATTCAGTTTATAACACTTCTCATATATTTCTGTGACATTTCTACCACAACTATTATCGCATAAATTTGAAAGGAAGTCAGTGATGTGTTATTGGTTATCAAATAACACATGATCCAAATTGTTGCATACATGCAGGTTCTGTTTCAACTAATATGCTGCCTATGAAGTAAGCAGCAAGGTAGCTCACTAGGCATCCATGTGTTGGCATCAGGGTTGGGAGGGTTACTTTTAAAATGTATTCCGTTACAGTTACAAATTACTTCATTAAAAAAGTATTCAGTAACGTAATCCAAGTACCACAATATAAAAGTAATGTAATCTGATTCCTTTTGGAGTACTTCAAGTTACATATGTAAATAAGTCAAAAGTACTTTTATTTAACTATGACTTTAAAATTAAAACTAATAAAAACTATAGTAAAAACTAGTTGAAACTATTAAAAAGCGTGTCTTGTTTCACCATCTAGATATTACAGCCCGTATATTTACATAAAAGGCTATGCAGACATCTAGTGGCTATACAGTTTAGTATTACAGTTTTATTTTTATTATTATTTTTTATTTATTTAACATGTACAAGTAAAAATAAATATAGTTTATACACAACATTGAAAAATGTACACCATATACATACAGTGGTGTGAAAAAGTGTTGGCCCCCTTCCTGATTTCTTATTTTTTTGCATGTTTGTCACACTTTAATGTTTCAGATCATCAAACAAGTTTAAATATTAGTCAAAGATAACACAAGTAAAAACGACAATGCAGTTTTTAAATTAAGGTTTTTATTATTAAGGGAAAACAAAATGCAAAACTACATGGCCCTGTGTGAAGAAGTGTTTGCCCCCCTGTTAAAACTGTGGTTTATCACACCTGAGTTCAATTTCTCTAGCCACACCCAGGCCTGATTACTGCCACACCTGTTCGCAATCAAGAAATCTCTTAAATAGGACCTGCCTGACAAAGTGAAGTAGACCAAAAGATCCTCAAAAGCTAGACATCATGCCGAGATTATTTTCATGCTAGTCGTACCTGCAAATGTTCAAGTCGGTTGAGTAGCCTTTTTTAAAGCAAGAGTCTTCATGCATAGCTTTTGCTGTACAACTATGTTATTTCCTTTATCCTCTTTGAAAACAAAATAACTGTGAAATTTGCAGACATGAAAATGTTTTTCAAAGCAGGAAGCATCGTAATTAATTAACTGTAGCAGCGTCTCATCCCGCGTTTGAGGAGAATAATTGTAAACGGGTGTTATTTGCTGACAGAATGCAGTGTTTTATAATCTAGAGATTATAAAAAGGATGTAGCTCATGTACTGTCGAGTCAAGTGCCAGTGGATTAGAGACCTGCTCCCGCGAGACCCGATGCAACAGCGGGCGGCACGGGACAAGATGGGCGAGTGCTGGTGCGAGCGGGTAGACACTTGTGTGTGTGTGAGGGATGCGGGAGAATAAAATGATTAACGGGACTCCTGCAAAATAGAAATATCTAAACATAAAATATCTAAAACAAATAAATTGTTATTCATCGATTACACAAAAGCAACATGAACTAATATAAAATATAAACGATTAGCAGGTGCAAGCTATTTCTATTTAGGCTAAAACACGTGTATGCAGCGTTGAGCAATGCAGTGCTGAAATTTGCGTGCTCACGAATCCTCTCATTATAACACACGAATTGTAGACATTATGTAAGATTCATTATGCATATATTTATTGTGTTATAACAGAGATTTGTGAGATTGCGATGAACTGAGATGTCTTTTTAGAGATTATAAATGCAGCGCTCTTTGCTGGCATTCTGCCATGCCAAACCATGCACGCAGCAGCCGCTTGCTTTAGTTAAAAATAACAGTGTTCTGTGAATGTTGATGCTTTAATAACAAATATTTATCGGGAGCGTGTATGCTGGGATTTCATAAACTTAATGGAGAAAAAAGTAACGTAACTAGTAATGTAATTAATTACTAATTACTTTTGAAATAAAGTAATCAGAACAGTAACGTGATTACTTTTAAAATGAGTAATCAG